AAAAAACTAATACCAATCCTATACGATGTCTTTAAAATAGAGAAGGTGAGGAAACTCCCATTGTACTTTATGAGGCCAGCATTACCCTGATAATGCAACCAGACCAAAAAAGAAAACTACAGACCAATACTCCTCAAGATCATAGTCACAAAAATCCTTAACAAAATATCTGCAAACCAAATCAACAATATATGGAGAATATATAATGTGACCAAGTAATGTTTAGTCAAGGAATCTGAGGTTGGTTTAACACTTGCATATCAATCAGTGTAAATTAACTAAATTAACAAAATTAAGAAGAAAACCAATACAGTCTTCTCAGTGGATGCAGGAAAATCACTTGACATAATTCAATATCCCTTCATGATAAAAACTCTAAGCAAACTAGAATGGAAGAGAACTTCTTCAAACTGATAAAGAACATCTATTAAAAACCCACAACAAACATCATACTCAATGGTGAAAGACTGAGTGCTTCCTCCCTAAGATCAGAAACAAGACAAGGATGTCTGTTCTCACCATTTCTATTCAACATTGTTCTGGAGGTTATAATCATTGAAATAAGCAAGAAAATAAATAAAAGGAATACATATTGGAAAGGGGGAAAATATTCACAGAGGTATGATTATATACCCCAAAATTTTAAAGAATCTACAAAAAAGATACTAGCACTGATAAGTGAATTAAACAAGATTGCAGGATACCGGGGCTCTGGTGGCACAGTGGTTAAGAACTCAGGCTGCTAACCTGAGGCGGGTTGAATCCACAGCTGCTCCTTGGAAACCCTACGGGGCAGTTCTACTCTGCCCTATAGGGTTGCTATGAGTTGGGATCAACATGACAGCAACAAGTTTGGTTTGGTTCTGGTTTTGCAGGATACTAGTTCAATATACAAAATCAACTGTATTTCTATATACTAGCAGTGAACAAGTGGAAAATGAAATTAAAAGAATATTGTTTACAGTAGCATCAACAACATGAAATACTTAGGGATAAATTCAGCAAAATATGTGGCACTGAAAACTAGAAAACATTGCTGAAAGTAAAGAAGACCTAAATAAATGGAGATATACCATGTTCATGGATCAGATCATTCATGTTAGGAAGATGTAAATTTTTGCTAAATTTATCTACGGATTCAATGCAACCTCTATAAGAATCTCAGCAGTTTTTTGGTAGAAATTGATAGGCTGATTCTAAAATGTATACGAAAATGCAAAGAATGTAAACTAGTGAAAGCAACTTTGTAAAAGAAGAACAAAGTTGGAGAACTAACACTACCTGATTTCAAGACTTACTATAAAGCGACAGTACTCAAGACAGTGTGGTATTGGTATAAAGGTAGACATAAAGATCAATTATCAGAAGAGAGAATCCAGAAATAAACTCAGTTCAACTGACTTTCAACAAATGTGCCTAGGTAATTAAATAGGGGAAAGTCTAATCTCTTCAACAAATGGTGTTTGAACAACTGCATTATCCATATGGGCAGTGGGGGGATGACAAAACTTTGACCTTTATCCCACACAACACATAAAAATTAACTCAAAAAAGTGAATCATAGATCTAAACATTGAAACTATCACACTTCTGTAAGAAAACACAGGAGAACATCTTCATGAGTATGGAGTAGACAAAGATTTCTTTACAGAGTACACAAAAGCATGAACTACAAAAGAAAAAACTGATGAAGTGAACCTCATCAAAATTAAAATTTCTGTTCTTCAAAACACTGTTAAGAAAATGAAAAGGCAAGTCACAGGACATGTATCTGACAAAGGACTTGTATGCAGAAACCATAAAAAACTCTCACAACTCAATACCAAGCAGAGAAGCAATTCCATTGAAAGAAGGGGGCAACAGACTTGAACAGTGTTACAAAAGAAGATAATAGTTGGCCAATAAGTACGTGAAAATATTTTCAACATCATTAGTCTTCAGGGAAATGGAAATTAAAATCATAATAAAGTACTACTACACACCCACGATAGCTAAAATTAAAAGGACTAACAATACCAAGTGTTGACAAGGATGTGTAGCAACTGGAACTGTCATACACTACTGGTAAGAATGTAACGCAATACAACTTCAGCAGTCTGACAATTCTTAATAAAATTAAACACATTCTCACCATAAATCCAGCAATTCCACTCTTAGGTATTTACCCAAAAAAA